GCTAAAGGTACTCCGCTCGCCCGCTTTGATGCCTAAGCGGGTGGGCGGCTTGCCTTTAGAGGACGAACGGCGAGAGGCATATTCGCTCGTCCGCGTAAGGCCCGCCACTCGTCCAAATTATTGTCTGAGATGTTGATCATTTACAGATGAGCATGCATTGCTAGATATGGCTGCTGATGCTGGCTTCATATTCAAAAAACGACCACCAGGAAAATGTGTTCTAAGCATAGTAAGCGCAACTCACAAACGATAGTCATTGCTGTGGTATCCGCAAATTTACGACAATTTTTCTAGTCGGGAACTATACTAGAGTACGATCTAGTTGCGGTGCTAGAGTTTGATTCGAATCGAAAAAGAATGTCCGTGGTGGTTAGGGAACCTCATGGAAAGTACAAACTGTACATCAAAGGGGCGGTTAGTAAGTGATATATGCAGTTGCCTAAGCATCACTTATCACTTTTTAGGACCAAAAAATCTTTGAAAGATTAAGAAGCGCTTCTTCTAAAGAACTGAAAAGAACTGCAGGTCACCTGCAACAGTTTGCAATTGGCGGTGAGTGAGCATTACCTCCAGAATTCCGTTCATCTACTTTTCTCTTTATGCCATTTGTTTCAGGTTACCGAACTCTCTGTTTTGCCATTAGAGACATTGACAATGTGACTTTTGTCAGATGGTATAAAGAGTATCTTGCGACTGTCAATGAAGTAGGCGGAAGGAAAGAGAAATTTGCTCAACTTGCAGAAGACATTGAGAGGGTTTACCAGATTGAAGGAGAGAAATCTGCAAAATTAATGGTTTTGATCCAGGATCTTACATTGATTGGAGTGTCGGCCATCGAAGATCGGCTTCAAAAATCGGTTCCAGAGACTGTAGCAAGGCTTTTGTCAGCTGGAATTCGCGTTTGGGTTCTTACTGGAGACAAATTGGAGACTGCTGTAAATATTGGTATAGTTCAACTACTACATTTATTCGTAACTAGGATTTTTGGAAAGCCCACAATAGGTGCGAGCACATGAATGTATCAAGTCACAAGAACGCTGCTGCATTCTCCATAAAATTTGTGGAAGAGGCAGCGCCGCTAAAGTGAGGGTTTGATGGTCAATTTAAATAAAATAGCAGTGTTCTAATCAGGGTTGAACGTGGGGTCAGCCGCGCCTGACCTAGGGGGTCGCACTGGGGATATGGCTGCATGGGGGGTCGTAATAAGAGAAACCGTT